CTGAATGATAACGATCCCACGTTCTACAAATCTCGATTACTTTTTCGAATGGACGTATCAGCTTTTGTTAACAGCGCATTTTATCGTCGGTTTGACGTAACTGATAGCTCGCCCACGCATACTGACACCAGGTAGGGGAAAACTTCTCCTATCTGATGGTACTGTTAGCATGCGTGGGTGAGCCACCAGTTACGCCAAATCGACGATCAAATGCGTTGTTTACAAAAGCTGATACGTCCCTTCGAAAAAGTAATCGAGAAATACTGCTTGGGCTGTCACAGTTACCGAGTTAAATTTAACTCATGGTTAAACGTGACATTGCGAAATTTATTTTCATTGTTAGAAAATCCTGGAAATTGATCGGTTTTCAAACAGAACTCAGCCACGGTTGCCATTTATGCGAAATTTCGGTATTAATCGTGAATATCTCGCGATAGAAAAATTTTAGCTTGAAATCGCTCCATTTGATTCTCCATCATTCTTCATAAGAAAACGTGGTGTTTCTGTGATGGAAAAAAAGATTACAGATTTCTATACCAAGCACTGAAATTATCAGACGGTACGCCCAAGTAACCAACAAGCCCGCTAATTCGCCTTTTTGCAAAATAAGGCTAATATGCGGCTAATATAAAACTTAGCATGCTCTATATTAGTCGTGTATCAGCCTTATATTGCAAAAAGACGAATCAGCAGGCTTGTTGGTTACTTGGGACCTCTATTCATGCTTTTAGATAAGCTATGAAAGCCCATCCTACTTGGAAAATTATGCTATAGAACGGATTATAAAATCCCAGATTTTTTGCTGATGGGAGCGAGGCATAGCAAGCCGTTCTATTTCATAATTCGCCAAGTAGGAGGGACTTACAATGCTTACCTCTTAGCATAAATAGAGGTACCGTCGAGTACCGAAATTCGACAGTGAGCGTTCAAAAGGGCCTACTTGCAATGAATGATATATTCTCCTAATCTATTTTATCTTTACATTGCTACAGCTAAGCGAAACAATTCAAGCTGAACATTGCATCAGGTCCTAATTTATATTGACAAGATTTTCTTCGTCAATATTCTTCTTGTATCCCCTCGGCCCTTTAAATACATTCCCAGGTGAGAAACGGTTATATGCTCAAGTTATTAACGAAAGAGAAAATCGACGAAGAGAATCGATCAATGTTATTTAGGACCTAATGCAATGTTCAGCTTGAATATTATTTGATTTTTTTTTTTCAATGTAGTGCTGTAACAAGTTGTATTGGCTATCAAAAGCAACAGCAAATGCACCGAGAAATGTTAATCCAAGCGAGTTATTAACAAAAGAAAACATCGATCATCGCGGTTACGTCCTTTTGTATGCTCACTGTCCAATTTTTAATCTGTGATAGATATGGAAGTCACTTTTTTCGCACCACAGAAACGCCCAGTGTTCTTATGCCAAATGATGCATGTGCATTTAGAAAACGAAAACAAAACCCTTAAAATAGATATACCGATAACTTATTGGAGGGATTTATGGTTAATCGAGATATTCCCGATCAACTACGAAACGTTGCAAAATTGTGCAATTGTGCACAAACTTATAATAAAGAAACTGGAACTTCACGTTTGCTGCAGTGCAGTACACAAGGAGTTTCAATTTTATGAGTGATGTCACAACCGTCCAAGATTTTTGCCTTAGAAATCTTGAAGTGATAATCATTGTTGGACGCTTCAATGAATCACTTAAAGAAAGCCTTACTCATATCTGATTGTAATTTAGGAAACAAATATAATGGAATATGTATTCGCATTTTTGAGGTCCTGAATTTAACCAAGTTTTACTAAGTAGGACATCGAAAATATGTGCATAAGACCGAGCTCATAGATTAATTCTACTGAATTTTAAATCAATATCTAGAAAAATGCACGAGAATTTCACAGTCAACCATGCGATCGTGTCTTATACACAACCCCACCAATTATTTTTTTCGATTGCCCCTGCACACTTTGTGAACTTCTTAAAAGTTCTAAGAGTTGCTGGCGATCAAGAAGTTCCAGAAGTTAGTTATCAATGTCCAGGGGTTCCTTCAGAATTGGAGTTTTTCAAGGTAATTATATTTACCCTGGAACTTGATTTGTTTTCCGTCGATCTTGTTTTCCGTGCTGAGCACCAATGCTACCGACGCCAGAGAGGCAACTCCCACACCTGGACCCTACCTATCGATCCATTAACTCATGAACCGGGGACCAACGGCTCTACTTCCCTGGGGTGAGAGATAATCGCACTTACCACTACATCACCAGCGCCGCTGGTTCCCAAGGAATATTTTTGGATTTATGACTTATGGGACTTATTACGCTTATAATGGACTTGAAGAGCACAATAAATTAAAACATGAATGCATGGGTCGCCTGAGTTACCGGATCTGTTGGATTCTTGATCCTGAAGTTCTATAATTATTTAAATCATGGATGATTTGAAATTGTATTTTAGATTCCGAAGTTGAATTAAATGCTCCCGATACAACGAAAGTAAATTAAGTTCCTGCCAAAGTAACACAAATTCATAGAATTATGTACAGTAAGCTCCTGTACAACCAAAACCAGTCATACAAAGGTTATATAAACTGTTATAGAACATGTGTGTGCTTGGGTGGAGTCCCGGTAGTTTTCGAAGTTAAGAATATTTTAAGAGTTTTTAAAGTTATTGAAGAACCAAAAGCTTTTGAAATGCAAGTGATTGGTGTTCAGTGAACTACTCAAGCTTTCTAGGACCTCTTGCTGTTCTTGGAATTTGGGGAGTTTAAAAAAAAATCAAGAGCTCTGGAAAACACTGGAGTTCCAGATCTTTTCGTAGTTGTGGGCGTAATGAGAGTATGAAGTGTCCAAAAATTGCTCGATATTCTAAGAACTCACATAACTGCGAGAAATAAATAAATACCGACTTTCCAAACAGCTTTTGAAACTTCAATAACTTCCGATAAAGCGATAATAGTTCCGGAACTTTAGGAACATTCTGATGTGAATGCTAAGCGGCAAACTTTGTGGTACTTTGTGAGGTTTCTGAACTACAAAGATTATCAAAAAATCTCTAACCGCCGAAAAAAAATTGGCAGAAACTTCAATAACATACAGAACTAGAAAAACCCATTGATCTCTGGAAACGTACAGTGCTTCAGAAAAAAATCTCGAAACAGCGCAAACGTCTGCATCTTCCGTGAAGTCTTGAGTTTCTCTTCTCGAAGTACTTGAAGTTTTATATATTTTAGATTTTTTGATATTTCCTGGGTTTGCCGAGATTTATCATAGAGGTTATTCTCAAACAACTGGGAGTTGTCTGAGAAATAAATGCTCTGGAAGTTGCAGGAATTCCAAATTCGCCTATTTAACCGGATATTCTGAAGTTCCGTTAATTTTAACTGGTTCCGCAGCCTTAAAAATTTTCTGGTATTCCTAGATTACTAAAAATGTTGAGAATTTGGAGACTTCTCGGAGTTTCGGTACAGCTTCAAGATTTGTTCCAGTTCCAGAAGTTTGAAAGCAGTTGCAGTTGTGAGAGTTTTGAATGTTATCAGTGTACCCTTATTTATGTAGAGCTATTTGTGTCTCGGAAATTTTTCGAGAACCTAACCGATTAGAAAGAATCATGAATTTCACTACTCATAAATGCATAAACGTCCCATGTGGATGATTGGTGCGTTAATCATTGGAATCGATTGCTAACTTCCTGCATTTTGCTATGTGCACGACCAGTTAGATGTTTAGAAAATATCGTAAAAACTACGGAACGAAGTTGTCCCCCAAACAACAAACTTCCATTGCAATAAGTTGCAAATGAGTAACCAGTGATCAGAGATATTATTCCTCCGAACATCACGGCGGCGCCGGCTGGGATTGAACCCAGGCCTTTTGGGGTAAGAAGTAATCACGCTTACCACTGCACCACCGGCGCCGGTAACTAATCTCATCTGTGCAGACTATAGGTATGGCCTAGTTTGTTCCATTTTCCCCAAAACTCGTTAGCTAAAGGTAATTAATATCTGTTTTGCAAATTGCCGCTAGCTTTCTGACATAAAATAGATAACTTCTTATATAAAAAAGTCAAAAAAATTGATTGCAGCAGATAGTGTGGACTTCAAGGAGTAGCTCATTTTGGGTAATTTTTCCCAAAATTCGTTATTTAAGGGCAATTAATATAAGTTTTGCAAACTTCCACTAGATTTCAGACATAAAACTCATGATTTCTTTTGTAATACAGTCCAAAGAATCGATTGGAGAATTTTCGGATAGAGTTGACCTCGAATCGATTAGAGCGATGTATCGAATAGTGTATACATCAAGACCCCCTCCACCCCCCTTAATAACGAGTTTTGGGGGATATGTGGCAAAATTAGCTACTTCCCGAGGTCTACACTATCCGATCTATTTAGTGGCATTCGATTACCCAGATTTTTTTAAACAAAAGAACATACCTGAAACCAGCGGCACGAAATAAGTGCGACTCTGGGTGAGATTTTTCCCACTGTGCAATAGAAGAAAACAAATTCAACATTCTTTTTTGGACTGCTGTTTTTCCACATGGGATGTATTCCAGCTTCCACTACACGCTACCAATTACTTCCAATTACTATTAACAAAATGTCTATCGATACCAACCATACGCAACTCCAGATTTAGAATCTTCAAAAATTCTTTTCCCCTTATAGAAATCTCCAAAATATCATCGATAAAAAAAGAAATACGACCTGTTAAACTATAATAATAAATTAGATCACATTTTTACAACTCCCCTCCACCTCCGCCCTTATCAATCCCTAGCACCGCTAACGACATTCAACCGCCAATGAAGCGCGCACATGTGTCTCATTAAAAATGGGGTGCCTAGATTTATGTGAATCGATTCATGCCTAATTGAGGCCGTACAACCAAATCGAAAAACGCACGCACGCACTCTTTATACCGTCAATCTTATACCGGTTCTACAACTTGCAGGTGGTCCGAGCCTTTTGCCCCAGCTTAGTGCTTACCTGTTTTAACGTTAACCTCGCCGTGTACCGCAGGTCGCTACCTTCCCGTCGGAACCAGACGTGCGGTTTGTCGCGGATTATAAACACTATATCGGCAGGTATCTTCCCTTTGGACTGGTCACCCTCCTTCTGGAAGGTCACCTTGGTGCCCGACTTCCAGCCCGGTTTGATCGATATACTGACGTATTTGTCTTCCTTCTTGGAGGTACCGTCCGGTTGCAGCACCCTCCGGGAAATTTTCATTTTCTTAACACAGCCATGATAGATCTCCTCCAGCGTCGCGTACAGATCGTGCTCGATCGGAGGATCCTGTACCTTTTCTTTCTTGAGCGGTGAGTGCACATTGAACGAGTGTGATCTGCAGTTGGAAGTCAATCATTCAAGCATCAATTTACAAGTGTCTGAAAATGACCTCACCTGAAAGCTCCTCCCAACCCGTGTCGGTTCCCCAGACCACCGAAGGACGTGAAAAACTCATCATCATTGAATAGACTGTCGTTGAATAAACTATCATTGTGCATATCGAAGAAGGACGCGAATGGGTTGCTGGAACCGAAGAACTGCGCAAAGGTTGCCCGCGGATCGCCGTGGAATTCATATGTGAAGTTTTGTGACGAATTTGTCGTGCCATTTGATGCCCCTGAAAGCAAGAGATCCAGATATTAGAAGAAAAAAATAAAACTGACAGGCAAACCGAACTTACTTCCTTTCAGTCCGTCTTCGCCGTATTTGTCGTACAGTTCACGTTTCTTCTTATCGGATAGCACCTCGTACGCTTCTGCGACTTCTTTGAACTTTTCCTCCGCGCCGGGACTTTTATTTTTGTCCGGGTGATATTTGAGTGCTAGCTTCCGGTAGGCCTTCTTGATGTCTTCGTCCGTTGACCCTTTGGGTATGCCCAAAGTTTTGTAGTAGTCTTTCCCCATGGCACCTATTTTGACGGCTTTTCTATGACGTTTCTAGTGGAGAGATCACGAGGCTCACAACACCTCGAACGTTTCGGTGTGATCAGGTTCAGCTGAGACGATGCAGTGCTGCAACGGAGATGACCGGCTCTGTCTCTGCCGGGGGATGCTAGTTTGTGTGTAGATGCGGCGCAGATGGTCTGGAATCGAAAAAAATAGAGGGGGGAAAAATTAGACCGAGGTAAGAAATGAGGGCGATAAATCAGGGATCTTGTTTTTCTCAAAACTAATTTGAAAACGTAGCCAACTTAAAGCGAAACGGGAAAGGAAAACGGGAAAAAGAATGTCGAATGGTTTGCGTCAATGTTTTGGCGCGCATGAGTGACGCGAATTTGAAAAAAAAAACGGTTTCTAGCCGCTACAAGGAAAGGTCGCTACAGCTTTTCGGGTGGGGAGTTATTGATCGTCACAATGAAATAAATGGCCATTGGTTACATGTGCGTTCATACGTGGCATGCGTTGTCTAAAATTTCCTTTGAACCGCGTCACAGCTTTCTCAGACTCCTTGTGAAAATTTTTCGAGAAAACTTTTGGAATTTCCATACAATTTTCTCCATTACGAATCTTCTCCAGGAAGCTGTTGGATTTCTCTCAACAGTTATCATCTAATTCTTAATCGCTCTCACAAGAAGACGCACATCTGACAACCAAAATGTACGTTTTTTAAAGATTTTCATGTGATACAGGTAAACCTTTATTTAACGTAACTGTCACTTTTGACTTCCATCGTCAATATCTCGCTAATAACAATTGAATCATACAAATTAATAATACCAATACATAAGGGATTATCTCGTCCAACCTATGATGTTATTACTTCGCTTGTTTAAATGATGTTTTCCGAAAAATCAGCAATGGAAGTCAAAAGTGACAGTTATGTTATATCGAGGTATATCCATAGAGGTAACTCTAAGACTAGAAGGTTCCGAAATAACGTGCTCAACTTTTTGGCTCAGCTCTGGTACTCTCTTCGGTCCCAAGCTAATCGATTCACCCCTCGAAACATAGGAAAAACCAATAACCCCTCATTTTATCTGTCAAACTTTCATAGCGAATCAAAACAAACATTGCGTAGTACTAGCATTTCGACTAGAATGGAGTACGTTACTCGTTTGCTTGGGACCAATAGGCTAGTCAAGAAATGAACCAATTTAAAATCGTTAGTTTCGTATTGATTGTTGGTATATCTGTGTACAAACATATATACAAATAAACAAATAAACAAGTCGTATAGAATACATAAAAAATATGATACGTGCAATTTTAAACGCATGTTCATACGATTTGATTTGGTGTCATATAAGATCTTATCTTAAAAAAAATAAATGCAGTTCGACAAGCCTTATGATATAGGCCACTTTAATGTGTGATAAACTACGATATAAAAATTAATCATCACATATAGGAAAGTCAGAAATTTGCATTCTATGCGATTAATTTTGACATGCGACGTTAATTTAATCTGTTGTAATTTTTCGATTCTATCTTATATATTCTATCTATCTTCCCTAAGCTCAGCAACACAAAGGCTTTCAGTGAAATGGCATTCGGCCAAATTTTCTATAGTAATTTTTTGTTTTTGCTTCTCCCTAGCTCGAAACCTGGCCGAGCCCTTGGATGTACAACTTCTAATTATTATGTTTTGGTTATTAATTTATTTGATACGGCTCAATCGAATCAACTTTACAGAGCTGAGGATTCTTGTTCACTATACAAAACATCGTAAAACTATAGTCAAAAGATACAACACAATTAACACTTTATCTTCCGCTATCCAATGAGCCACCTCCGTCAGAACGAGATCCGCTTCTAGTGGATTCATTATATGGCAGTATCGCCAACGGGGGGCAAAGCACTTCCATTGCAGCAATGGGTGCAAAACTACATGTTCAGAAATTTAACTCTTTTGGAAAATCTTGGTGGCCCTGAAAAGGGCCGATGGTATTACAGGCTTAAAGCCTTTGGAAGATGATGATGACGTGTAGGTAGCTGGATCAATGATTAGGCACTCGAAAGAGTCTTGGCCCCTCTGCTGCTTAACAGGGATTGAACTGATGTCTGCAACAGGTTGGAAGGCTGCAGAATATCAGTTTTCACCTAGCTAAAGCTCTTCCCCTTTTTTGTTTTTCTCGTTAAACTTCTTCTCTCAACAAGTTGGTAAATCTTAGTCTTTAGTGGAAAGACGCTTAACACTTTTTTCGGTGAATTTATGACCCTGTTACACATCATGGTTCTTCTCTATGTCTGTTCAGATAAATTAGTACTTTTATTTATTGTCTATACTGCTCTTAATCAAATGAGTAGAAATAAGAAAGGATGTCGGTTACGCACTCGAATAATTGAAAATTCTATAAATATTTAATCGAATAGCTGGAAACATCTTTACGATTAATCGTTAATCGAATAATTACACTTTTAGGCATTCCTAGAAAATATTGCAATTTCATGTTTTTTTTTGGTCCTTCAAAATGTAGAACAGAAGATTTGCAACCAGTAAGTGTTACCCAAGAACCAAAAGCGGTGCCATACTAGTTTTCATTGCTATGACGACGATTGAATTAAGGGGCTTAGAAGCAGAGAGGTGAAAGTCAATTCTCTTAATCGATTTCGTCTTTGATTTTATGACCATGGCTTCACTAACCTATTTCGCACGATTTCTGCTATGCTCTTCTATCATCCAGAACCACAAGCGTATCAATGAATGTGTTTTCCGTCGAGTTATTAACGAAACAGAAAGTCGATGAAGAGAATCGATCAAATTACTTACAGCACTGCTTTCAAGTTTGGTTACAAGATTAAAAGTCTGGAGAGGATTTTGTGTGGTCATTGGGGGCGTGTTGTTCAGAAAATGACGATGAGTGTGCAAAAGTTACGCAATTGCATAATCCCTATTCGCACACGCCCGAAGATCGGAGGCGAATGTCACTTCGACTTGTTTCGTCTACTAACGACTCTCTGAAGACAGTGTTGGGGAAGCAGCATATACATGTACGTAATTGATGGATTAGTTATTTCGACGCTTTTTGACAATACTTAACATTTACCACTTTTTCAATAGTTTTTTGTTGAAAATCAATAGTCGAAAGCATTACTGTCGATGCGTGGAAATATTTCTGATTAATTGGTGTCTAGGGGCAGCTGAGTTATTAACGTTTAAAATCTTTCATAATTTCGTTACATGCTCACTTAGAAAAACCTAATCTTACACGTGATGGAATCCATCTTTGAGATTAAGGATGATACTTAAACAAACATGTCATGTAAAATTAAGTGATCCGAGACTGAAAAGTTCGTAAGTACTTTTGATTGAGCTGAATTTCGAATCTATTATGACTAAATTTTATGCCAAAATTGATGCTCGTATATGTCAGTCTCAGAGCAACTAAATTAACATAATTTTTTCTAAGTGTGTGTTCCATTCTTGGTTTTCACAAAATGTACTCCCATATAGAAATCACAGACGTAGTCTTACGTCAAAAATGAAAAAGATATAAACAAATTAAAATTGACAAGTTTTTTTTTTTAAGGTGACCTTAAACTTTTGAGCGATTACACCGTTATGTAGCTGATATCTATCATATCATATATGTACATTCTCAAGTCTATTTTCCACGAGCCCATACGATCGAACGCGGCTCGCGCTTTGGTCGTAGAAGTACTTTCAGAAGCAGCTTGAATCGCCCAATTAGCTGTTGGATGCAATGGTTATTTTGAAATTGTGAAAATATAAGAGGCTGAATAAAATTCAGCGCTGGGAATGTCTTCCACTGATAGGCAAAATAAAGTGCCCACCTCATCATTTTTTTGATTTTCTCTCATATATTTGATTCAAATTAAAGTAAACATACTCTAGTCTTTTTTAATATCCTATTTTCTATATTCTTTAAAAGTTTCACTACTGTAATACTGACGCAAAACAAGTTTTACTGAAAGAGAAAAAAAATCAATTTATTTTGAAAAAAAAAACAGTGGCAAATAAAGTGCCCACCCAGGTATCAATTTAATGCTTAACAAGTGTTTTTCAATAGATTTTAATTCAGCCTTAACATATGTAACATAAGTCCTGGAAAAAATTAAAAGCATGCCATTTGAAATCAAATAATTTAATTTTAAAATCTTCTTCAGGGTATTTTATTCTATTTATAAACTGTTGAAAAATGCATTTACATTACACTAAATGGACCATTATCTTCGATTTTTCGCAGTGTGCAGCGAAATTGTTGAATCAGGGTTTGGACGGTGTCTTTGACGATTTATTTTAAATTTTGCTTGATTCGATCAACCAATTGTTGCTCAATTTGAGCTTCCCAGCCGTTGTCGTACACCGTGGCCTTGAGTACACCCGATTGGACGAGCCTGAGGCACGTTTGATCGATTGTCCTTTTTCGATACAAATGGTATTTGTTGCTCAGTTCCAAAATGATGCATTTTCCATTCGCAAAAGGTTCGCGACGAAGTGCACGGCAACATTTTGGTATTTTTCGAGTTATTGCTGTGTATATTTTAGAGCACAATGACGTTTCCGGTCGATTACATTGTATTTTGTTTTAATCCGATGGATTGTCATGTTTGAAACATGAAATGTTCGTGCTAATTTGCGTGTTGATTGACCAAATTTGTTTTCAGCACTTGACAACATTTTTTGGTTGTTCTGGCACTCAATTTTGTTGGGCGACCGCATTTCTTTTTATTTTCCGGTTCTTTGCCATCACGACGATCCTTCAAAACACGATAAATAGTTGATTTTGATATTGGCTTGTCTTTGAACACGCTTAGAATTTCACTTGTACTGAGCCGTCCAAAAAGGTTGGCGACTTGTGAACATAAATCCAGCTTGTACGACCTTTTAAATGGAAACTACTGCGCAATTTGAGTTTGACAGTTCAGTAGTAGTATAGATAAGCGTGACAAGTGCATTGGTTGACATATGTGTGTTTGTTCATGCCGTCAAATAAACACCTGAAAGTATTCCCAGGACTTATGTTACATATGGTAGTTTGAATAATTGTTGTACATAAGCCACGTTAACCTTTGTTCAGCTTTAACCATCTAAATCTAGTGATTTTAATCAGCCGAAAGCTTAACAGCTATATAAATTATAAGCTTTTTAAGGCATTAAATAACAGTCTATTCCAAACCT